TGTTTCTGTGGAGCCAGACCCTGCAGATCTCCCTTTCTCATGCGGTGCTGGATGATGATGCAGTCAGTACCTGGGGTAGAGTCTGCTTCCTGTTGTGATAAAAACCCACTGAGTGCTGTGGTGTAAACTCAAACTCACCCTGGTGCGATGGGCAAACTTGGCTCTCGTTTCCAGGGGACGAACCTTGCATGGAACTGCAGGACGAGGGTTTGAGCCTTCAGTGGTGCTTGTGTTGTTCAGCTGCTGTGCTTGGGGACAGCAATGCTGATGTAGTCTGACTTTGCTTGGAGGAAGAATCCTTCATACAAAGGCTTGACCCAAGGGAGTGTTGATGTTACTCCAGCAGCATTTAGAGATGCTGGAGGTACTGACCTGACAACCCTGGAGGCTTTTCTAACATGCTTGTCCTCAGCACACCCAGAAGTGCTTATGAAAGCACCACTCTATGCACCATCATGTCTCATAATGAAGTAAGCCACTTCTCAAGTGCAACTTAGCAGCTGTTGAAGCCCAGCTCTATGCTTCAGGAGAAGCCAGTGCCGCTGCTCTCCTATGAGCCAGACTGGGAGATCAGGAGTAACAATTTCCATAGCCAACACAACTGTACTGGTAGAAAGATGCTGTGAGAGGACCAACTATTGGGTCCTCTGCGATTGTAGGAGCTGTTTCCCAAATGGGATATGGGTAGGGCACAAAGGCTCCAAGAGCAGGTATCATCTCTTGTGCCCTCCTGCAGTCAGGGCCTACATCTCTCAACAAAAGCTTTCCCTCCAGTGGTGCAGCAAGTTCCCTGCTCAAATTCTGCCCTGTAAATATAGCTTCAAAATACATCTCCTATTGCATGGAGGTACTGAAGGGCCTCCGTGTGCTGGAGGAGCCCTCTGACAGGAGATGGGGGCTCTAGGTGAGGCACCTCCCCGCCATCCCAGTTTCTACTTCTGTACTGGTTGGTGACACTGTCCTGCCTGCTGCCCTCTCCCCAGCCCCACAGCAGGGATGGAGCAAGTGGAAAGGCTGTGGGGCAGGTGAGGGTTTAGCTGTTTTGCTTTGCTAATGGGAGATGGGTGACAAAGGACGTTTCTGTGTGGTCCCCCGCATCTGGCACGAGGACTAATGCGAAGCGAGTGGGCTGGGAACGTATCTGTACCTGCCGCATGGCTCCTCTCCCACTGTTGAATGAAATGCGGCCAATTAGAAGCCCGGAGGATTGATGAAACATGATTAGTCAGGTTCTGGCTGTGTCCCAGGGGCCAGTGAGTCACCCCACCTTTCCCTCCTCCCCACCCAGCAGCCGCCAGCACTGTGCTCGCTCTCTGTCACGGCTGCAGCTTGCTCCTGGGTGGGTTTAGCTGCACAGAGACTTTAGGTGGAGGAAGGTGTCTGGGGAAGGGTGCCACAAGCGCGCTGCCTGGTAGGGCTTTGGGCACCTTGACTCCAGCTTGTCCTTTGGGCTGGCTTGGCAGAGCTGTGACTGGGGAAGGCAGGAGTATATTTTACTGCCAGTGTGGACTTGGGGATCTGCATAGTGGAAAAGAGGTAAACAAGAAGGGTGAGCCAGGGAAGAAATCCTGCAGCGACCAGCCAAGAGGGCTCCGTCACTAGCTGGGGAAGCAGGAGTAAAAGTAACTGGACCATCTGGCCCTTGTGGGAGTTTATCAAGAGCAGAGCTGTGACATGTGGCTTCAGTCACACCTCTGAGGACAAGGAGGGGAAGAGGAGGGGGGAGAGAGTGAACCCATCTGTCTTCCTGCTGTCTGATGAGGCATCTCACGAACACGCGGGAAGAGTGCTGGCAAAAGGAGCCAAGGAAATTTGTGTCATCCGGTGTGGCAGGCTGTTGATCCAAACAACTAGATGGAATAGTTTCTTTCTGTCCCTTTTGGTTTTGGGGGCGGCTTTCCCCTGGTTATTTAGCTGGATTTCCCTTAGTTTCTCTCAAGCAAGAGAGATAACGGGCTGTGTACGGGAGGCAGGACTGCAGGGAAACACACTGCGGTATCTCTGTGCCCCTCACCACTCCTTTCAGATGGTCCTCGCAGCACTTCAGCTCTGCACGAGTAGCTGTGTGCTTTTCTACTCAATAATGCCTTTTATTCAGGCTCTGCAATCAGTTACCAAGGCACTGAGAATCACATAATAAATACAAAGAGTAGAATAGACAAAGAGGTGAAGCTGAACACAAACCAGAACGTCAACAGACTCTCCAACTTAACAAAGCCAGCTTTGAAATATGGGGAGAAGGGGTAGGATGTTTGGAATAGGTCACACCAAGGTGCGCAGAGACTGTATAGCTACTGGAAGTCCTTCCCTTACCCTTTAGGTAGGGGGATGCCTCTGGAGGGCTTTCATCAAAAGGTTTCTGCTCAAAGGAGGGGCTTTTGTTCATCTCACCCTGTGCTTTAGGGTGATTTAGGGAAGATGGCAAAAAGCTGTCTGCATTCTTTGCTAGTTTTCTTTTTCTGTACCTCTCTTCCCAACCTCCCAGCGCATCCACAGGTATCCACATTCTTGTCTTCCTGAGGTGCATTTGCCACAGCTTTTATGAGTGTGTGTAGAAAGGGAGGGGATGCCACAACCAGCGTTTAAACATCTGGACTAGAAAACCCACTGGGGACAGGCAGGAGGAATATGAGGGAATGGAAACCATGAGCCTTTGTAGGGTGGGTGGGAAGGGGCTGGTGCCTCTGCTGGGACACCAGCTAACTGGGAAGCCTTGCCCCGGAGTTGGGACCAGGTCTCTCTAGCATGGCTTTCCTCCTCATGTAAATGAGATCTAAAAAAGGACTTCAGCCTGGGAAGATGCCTGTGTACTGTGCCTTGACTTCAGTGTGATGAGATCTGGAAAACATTTACCCCAAAAAGACCCTTTCCAGTGTTGCCCCAGCTGGTGCTGACTGCCCTTCTTGGTTAGCCCATGGTGCCCCTGTGGTTTTTAGCACGGTACTTGGCCACACTGGGTCGGACTGACTCACGTAAGATGGGAACAGACTAGTTAAACATAAACATCTTTACTGTAAGGAAGAGAATATCTTCGACAATTCGGTCTGTTTTCACTTCTCCTGCTTTCCTCATTGCTGATATTAAAGGAGGAAAAAACCCAACCAACCATTACCATCCTCCTTTCACAGGGAAGCATGCCAGTCTTCCCCTTAACTTCCTTATGGGAGAAAGGTAACACAATAGCTTCCCTTGTCCTGAGAGCAAGTCTGGTGTGGCACAGCACACGGCTTCCTTGACCTTCGCCCACGAACCCTTTGGGGAAGAGTACTGACCAAAGAGCAAAGCAGCTCCATGAAAACCAGCACAGGTGGAAATTCCTGGCAGTTAAAGCAGAGCAAAGATTTTTAAAGTCATAAAGCTTGAAAGCTCTGTACGTGTCTGTCTGACTTTATTGCCCAGAGAAAGAGGGACGAAAAATTAACAAGATACTGTACAGTCGCAGTGTGGATGTGCTGCTGCGGTGAGTGCAGGTTGACAGAGCCTGGAATGAAAGTACAGAGAGACCCTGCTCTGAGGTTGGTTTGATGACTCAAAAAGCAACGTGCTGCATCTGATGTTGCCGAGAGTGCTGGTGTCACACGCCGGCCTGCTTTGATCGCCAGAGGTGGGTGAGTGGCTGTGTGCTCTCCGCAGGGTGTAGACTGAAGAACTGGCTGTGCTTAAAAACACCTGCGAGTGTGGTGTGCGCATCAGGTGCGCCTGTAAGTGTGCCTGTGGCTTGGGAATTCCTGGGCAGGTGACGCGGGTTTGCTGCGTACGGGTGAATTTCTGTTCTGGGTGTACTGCGGGTGGCTGGCGGCATGAAACCGTAAGCGTGGTAATATTCTTCTGTGCTGTTTGATGTTTAATTCTTCTTTATGCTGAATTCATCTAACAGCAACTGCTCCATGTTTGACAAAGTGTTGAACAATGCCTCCGCGGTCCTCTGGGAGCCCTGCGCAGGCTATCAATGTAATCCTCCGCGTTTAGCTGGTCTGTGCTGTCTTTTCTCTGGTCTGTGTCATGAGCAAAGTTATTTCCTAATCTGTGACTCTTAAAGCCCCACATACAAAACACAGATATTTAATTTTTCCCTCTTAACTTTGTAAAGCGTTTGTTATTTTGAGGAAGCTGCATAAGCAACTCTGCTTCCTCTGAGCCACCTTTTCACATCATCTTGCTCCACAGATCTCTGCACATTGTGGTTTTTAGTCATGTTTAAAACCCTCTGCCTGGGGTTCCCTGATGGCCGCGCAGACGGTGAGGCACAAGAGCAGCAGGAGGACCTAGCAGTGTGAAAATCAGCTCATTGGCATGAAAAGCCACAAAGCTGGTGTTAGCAGCCGTGGTTTTGAGAATTGTTTGCAGTCCCTTGAAGCAGAGCAATTGTTATCTGTCCGATTTTGTTTGAAATACTTAGGATTAGCATTGAAGTTAGCCAGTTCTTGAAAATATCTTGGTTGCCTAACAATTCAGCCCACTGGAGGCAGATGGGACTGGACCAAAAGGCCAAGTGGCAGACCTAGGTGAGACTTCTGGCCCCAAGACCTCTCTCTGCTGTTTGCTTCTAGGACATAAGCACAGCCATCAAAGTTTGCAGGTCAGATTTCTTACCAAAAATAAACACGTGATACTGTGTTTCAAAGAAGCTCTATATTGGCATGCTGCTTGGGAATCGTGGTCAGGCCAAGAGATGGGGAATCACTGGGCAGTGTTGTTGGAAAGTTTTTCCTCTTCCAGGGTGAACACTCTCCCTCAAAATCCTCTTTCTGTCCTTTTTTTCTTTTCCATTCATCCTCTTTGGGGACCCAGTCTTGTGTGATAGTCCTCCCATGCAGGAGTGGAAAGAAGCAGCAGTTATGCAGCACCTCATAGGCCCAGGGCAGTGTAGGAGTAGAGCCCTGCGATGAAAAAGGGAGGCACCTGGACTCTTGGTGGTGGAAACTTGTAGTTCATATGCTGCTGCTTCTCCATTGACTTGCAGGTCTGAAGGCTTTTTGCTGCAGTCACTTCAGAGTGCCCTAGTGAACAGCCACAGTCACAGGCAGTGACCGTGGGGAAAAGTCCTCCAGAAACTGAGTCTGCTGGGTGGATTCTGGTGCCAGTTTTAGACATACACTAGCCTCTGTCATGCTGTTGTTGTTGACAGAGCTGCTGTTGCGACATGGCTCTTTTGCAGGGCGGATGGCCACTAAGAACTGGCGCTTGAAGGTCTCGCTGAGAGTAATGTAGAGGAAAGGATTGAGGCAGCTGTTGGCATAGCCCAAGCTAATGGCAAAGTTGTAGGCATAAAAGAAGGCCATGGATGGTGTGTCGATGCCAAGGTGAACCAGCTGAAGGATGTAGAAGGGAGCCCAACAAATAAAAAAGGCAGAGCAGATAGCAACTGCCATGCGGGTGACTTTCTTGGTACGTACCTGGAGGCTCCTCTGGGGCAACGGGACCACAGTGGTGGCCATGTGCTGGAGGATCTTAAAATAGACCACACAGATCACAATCAATGGCACAGCAAATGCCAGCATGAACTGGTAGAGGGTAAACCAGTAGATATCAGTCTCTGGGTTGGGAAGCAAGAGAGCACAACGGACAGTCCCGTCCTCCAGAGGCATAAGACCTGCATACATCCACACAGGAATGATGGTCAGGAAGGAGAGGAGCCACACCAAGCAGATAACTAAAGCTGCAACACACGGGGTTCGAACGTAGGTAGATTTTAGAGGGTAGACAGTTGCCAGGTAACGGTCCAGTGTCATCACTGTAAGGATGTTGGTGCTGGTGATCTGACTGTTGGTGTCCAGGGCAGTGATGATGGTGCATAGAGGAGCTCCAAAATACCACGAGCCATTGCCTAGAAGCTGGTGGATGAGGAAGGGCATGCCCAAGAGGAAGAGAAGATCCACAATGGAGAGGTTGAAGATGAAAATATCAGGCACAGTCTGTTTGCATCTCAGCTTCTTCTTCTTGATGATAGTGTAGATGACAATGAGGTTCCCCACAATGCCCAGGAAACAGATGATGCTGAAGAGACTGGGCATGATCACGTTGGTGTACGGTGCTGCCTTCTCTGCTGCTGCCAAAAGAAACCAAAGCCATGAGTGCAGTCCAGAGGCAACCTCTTTACATCTCTGTGTGCTTCCCTTGTCCTGCAGCTCATTTCCCCTCAAAGATGTAGCTTGGAATGATGTTTAAGACCCTCTGCCATATTTCCAGAGCCTTAGCTGGGGATTTGACACTTTCAACTCTGCCAGCCAATGCATGCAGCATACCACCCAAATCTGGCCGTGTGTAGACATCTTTCCTCACCTCTCCTGATGTAATTCTGTCCTGACCTGAACCTCCCCACATCTTTTTGGGTGACTAGCATCAGGCTGGTGTGCCTCTGCACTTGCCAGTATCTGACAGAGTTGATAATAACTGTTCTTCTAGGGAGCTCTGAGCATCCAGCTGTTTTGAGGGGATTGGATGAGGCAGCTGGTGCTTTTCACATCAGAGAAGTAAGCCTCTGTGTGGGTGCCAAAATCTGGATGTAGTCAATGCTCAAACTGTTGTATTAGAAAGCTTCAGCTTGTCCGTTGGGTGGTTTATCTATTGTACGGTATGAGACACAGAGTTCATTGACCATACAGGCAGATAATTAATGTTTATCTAAATCGTGAGATCTGGGACTGTACCCTGGCTGTGATCCACCTCTGTTGTCAGGATTAGGCCAGAGCATGTGCTCCTTTCCCTCTTCCTTCCCTGCACTTCTCCTTTTCTCTAGTTTTCTTTTCTAGAAAGAAAACCAGGTGTATGTGGCCAGACAGGGATTTGGGAGTATGTTTCAGAGTGGCTCTTCAACAAGGAATGCCCTAGTTGTACATGGACAAAAAATGGTTTAAAGATGTTGTGTCCAGTTTCTGGATGTAGGTGGATTTCAAAGGCAAAATTCTTGCCTGATAACAGCGTCTCAGGACTGATGCTTGACTTTTTGCTGTTTTAGGCTGGAGGCACAAACATAATCAAATTCACATTTGCCTTGTCTCCAACCTGGGTTTAAAACCACATTTTGAAGGTACAAGCCCTCAGTGCCAGCCAGGAGGGATTTCTGCTCTTGGGCACAGAAGGTGGTGTCTGAGGCACTGATTGTGGTGCGCTCTGTTCTGCAAGACTGCCACGTGCAGTGAGCGATGGAGTCTTAAATCATCTTAGCTGAGGCAAATCTCATTTCATCTCATTACTCCTCTCCTATGGGACCTATTTTTTTTTTCTGGGGGAAAGCGTTGTGTGAGTTATTTGTGTGGCTGTTACAAAGACACATGACAGCCTCTAAGCTTAGGCTGCGTGCGTCTTTCATTGAATTGTAGATGTTTCAACGTGGTGTTAATTGGAAATGACTTCAGTCACTGTACTGTTCCATCTCCTTAGCAGCCTACACCTGGAGAAGTGGGGAGATCTCCTCCAACAGAACCTAGGGAAATCTTGAAAATGAGAGTAAGTGAAATAACAGATACTCAAAAGGTGGTGTCTGTTTGCTGAGGTGGTATTTGCTAACTTTGACCTCTAGAATTCTTGGAGAACAACTTCTCCAGATTTACTGTGGTGTGACAGAGAAGCTTGAATTGGCAAGATAACTGGGGCTACACGGCTGGCCTGGCTTGTGGCTGGAAGAGTAGGTGTGTGCCATATCAACTGTATGTAATATTTCAGTGCTTTTAGATGTGGGACATGATAAGCTGCCACTGCTTAAGTTCTTCTGGCACTAGGTAGCAGCCAGCTTAGGCATAAGCAAGGCCAAGGTCAGAATCCAGTAGAGCTGTTGCCGCACCTTTTTATCTGAAACCTCTACGCTTATGACAGAAAACAGCCAATGAGGCAGAGGAGAACTGGCAGGAGCCTGAAAGTGAAAGCCAGGATTGGTTGATAAGACAAAAAATCCTGGTCCAGGCCATTGGTGGAGGTTTAAATGGTCCCGGTTCCTCCTGGCTGCTCATTAATGCAAGGAAATGCCCCATGTTACATGGCTTTTGGTAGATAATGTACTGTCATCAGCATCCTATTGAGACCTGATACTTAATCTTCAGCATCCAGCCTGTGCAACCCCTGAATATCCAAACAGATCTCTTACCTCCTTAATGCATGAAGATGGCAAACTAGAAATTAGACCACCACAACTGTGGTCCTGCTGTTCTGCATGTAGCTATTACGAGTTCTGCTCTCCTCTCTTTTAGCCTCAAATTTTCTTATGAATTTGGTGGGAATGGATTGTATGAGTGCAGCATAAAGGCCACTTCATTAGCTGGAAATTGGGACAAAATGTCCTTTTTCTGCAGTAAAATCAATAGAGAGTGCTCATGGTGACCCTGTAACATTTGGAATGAGCTCAGCTGGCCCAAAGGCTTCATGTGAAAGGTAGTCTGTATAGCACTGTAGCATCTTTCCTGCTGTTGGTGTTTGTACAAGCAGGACTGTCAAGTGTTATTAGCTGAAAGCTAGTGTGAACCTGTAGTCCAGGTGTGTATTATGGGCTGGAGTCAGAAGTGCGTGACTATCAAATACTCAAAAGTTATCTCTTTTCTAAAGCCTCTTTCATCTTGAGATATGGTTGAATCCAAATTTTCAGTGCTGCTTCTGTGCACATCCAAGTGGCTGTACTTTGTTTACTGAAACAGCTACTTCAGGCATTGATTTGTCCTTGCTTGTAGATCTGTGGCTGCCCTGTTACTCTTTTTAAAAGTCTCAAAGTGGGGCTGCACTATGTGAACTGAATGAGGACTGGCCTAAATTCTTTTTTCCTCTAAGGTGGTTGCTGATCTCAGCCATGCCTAGATACATAAGAAACTATATTTTCCAGAAGGAAGCGCTTAAGGTACCTTTTCAGTTTAGAAAGGGCATACTGGTGGAGAGGGAGTCAAAGACCACATATAAAACACCTTCTGTTGAAGAGTTCCACCAACTTGCACAATCGAGAACTGGCCTGCCTGACCCTAAACCATTGATTTTTTTGGGGGAACAGTGGTAGCATGGAGAAAACAGGAGACTGAGGCTCTCTGCTTCCCTCTCCAGTGATGTCTCGTGTTCTCTGTGCCTTGTTCCCCTCCCTGCCTAGCTGGGCTGGTTCATCTGCAGCTAGACCAGTGGGCTGCTGGAGTTATTACTGTCTCACAGCCAGTA